CAACTACTGCCTGTAAAAAAAAATCGCAAGATCGTGTCATCGTCTTAGGCAAGTTATCAGAGGCAAGAAAGCCGAGAAATTCTATAGCTTAAAGTTGATGTCACGCCTTTAAAAGAGAATGAGTAACGCAGCGTATCTTATAGTGCATTCTTTTCAATCCGTCATGGATAACGGAAGTAGCTATGATAATGCAACTCTCAAGTACTGTTCTTGAGAAACCGCCACAGCGGTGCCTTTAATAGCTAAACAATACAGGGGAAATACGTAACATCTACCAAAATTTAGCCACGTTAGCCATTTCATTTAGCAAAATCATTCAAACTGCATGCAGCGTCGTGCATTGCAGTGCTGTTATTGGGTAGTTTTTCCGATAAGGCACGCCAATATTATAATTTTGATTTCTTTTTTTTGATCATGCGTTCTCACAGTACGATTCTGAACCGAAATCTACGTTACATTTAAAGCTATTCGACGCGCTAAATAACTTCAGACAAGTTAATGCATATGGTATAATATATAGGTGCAAAGGTAACCGCAAGGTTAACTTCTCGATTTTGGATTTGGCTACTGACTGTCCTTGGTCCTACGACGGTCCCGCTTGCAACGGCAGGCCCGTTTGATTTCTAAATGATATATGTAAAATTAGTTTCTTTTGCATCCTCCAGTGTGATGGAACGTATAAAATGATCCCTTTCCACTTTAAAAGGCAGAAAAGGTTGTTTTAGAGAATAGCCCAAGTCTTTTAATTCGCCAAATCTATTAAGCTACATTGAAGTACCTATCGTTGTCGGTAATCTTGAGTTGACGTTGGTAACAATATGGAACTCATCATACAACTACCATCCAGGTACAACATTACAAGCCGATTATTACGTACAACATGGAGTATTAGGTAAATGTTTCACCATCCGTATTCAAAGGCATTGCACTTCTATTCTCTTCTGAAGATAGACATTAAACATTTTTTACTTCATTAAAGTTACTTTATGGTGTTTTCTGACGTTTTTTTTTGTTTCCAACATATCGATTATCAAAAACCGTCAAACCGTTATGCTATAGGACATCCTTTTCAATTGCCAGAGTTAAAAGGCGTTGAGCCTGAACGACAGTTACGACGATCTGGTTATTGAAACTGAATGTCTATCCTCAATTGCACTTAAAGCGTATGACACCGCTTAATAAGCATAATATATAAAGTAATAGACAAATAATAATTAATATATAAATAAGGGAAGAAAAAATTTGCGGAAGCTCTTATTATACGACAAGGTTTCGCACAAGCTTTTGTGGGTCATTTCAAGCGGAATAAGCTGAAACGTAATCCCGACGATAATAAATCGCATTTCTGATTTTAGAAGCCCTCATAAAGGAGCACCCGTTGCAAAAACATGAACAGCTTGCGTTATTTTCAAGACAGTAGTATATCTCCATTGATTTACATTTAATTGATATGTCTTCGTTGATACAGTGACGTAGTAAGATTGATTGATAAGTAAAATTGATGATTATGTTGACTTGCTGCCATGTATATATATGTATGTATATAAGCTATATATATATATATATATATGTATGTATCAGTTAAATTTTTGTAATCATATAATAATAGCTTTCTTGAATTTACGTTCTGTTTAAAACACCTCGACATACTTACCTTACAGAGTTGTTAATCGATTCTATTAAAGAGTGTTTTTATTTTTATGATTGTTATGGACGAGGAGTCGAGACTGTATGTTTTGCGTTCCAAGATTGCAAGTCAATAGTGAAGTATTAAATTTATTTTTCCGACTAATCCTATAATTATTTGTATTTTTGGCCAGAGTTGCTTTTTCAGTTTTGTTTTCTAAAGCGTAGTGTATTGAAATCAACTTCCTACAGAAACCGTTTTTTGTGCTGTTTATATATCGAATAGGCGAAGCTAGAAATCACCATAGCCATCTATTGCATCGTGATGAGTTGTCCTAGTCCCGTAATGATTTTCCGCATAACGGTCTTCTTAAATATCCGAAAAATTCATCTACTCTTTTCATTTGATGCGACAACTTCTACAATGTTTTCAACGTATTCTCGCAGTCTATGACGTTGTGGAGTAAGTGGAAGTTAATTGGCTATAGTAGAATTAATATTTAGTATAGGGACTACATCGCTAAGGGAGCGATCTTCGTCTTATGTGCATTTGACATTTTGGCCATTATCGTTTTGTGCCAGCACGCTCTTCATTCACAACACGGAACAGAGAAAAGCCACCTGCACAATTTCGAGATTTCGACGCGATTCTACTGATTTTTCAATAAAGCAAATGTAATTTTTATACATATTGAGTTAGCTCTCGTTATATTCTTGTTGTTGCACCCAATGCTTTTCATGTCGAAAGAACGATTAAATATTTTTCTTTTCCATTATAAAAATAGATTCCGTTTTTAGATGGTGGGCTCTTCGACGAATAATGTATTCAACAAAGGAATTGGGAAACCAAGGAAAGTCTTAGAATATTTGCTTTTTAACCGAAAATCGTTAACGGTGACATTTTTCTAGATACATGACACCTTTTTTGGGCATCGTCAAAGCTTCCCACAAGTCTTTCCAACACTCACGCAAACTATGGCTTCTACCGTTGGTCTTCTACACTTCAGTTACCGTTGTTTGTATGAGATGCTTATCCATACGGTTCCACGTACTATTTTCGATTGTAGCAAGCATCTAAACCACTAAATCGAAGTATCTGATATGAAACCATCTATTAGGTTATCTATTAAATAGATCTGGATATTTTTATCAATTGGCAAGGAGTGTTACGGCATCGAACGCTCTCGACGTATTTTATCGATGCAATTTGTCGAATCACGAAAAGCACCGAAAAATATCACAGTTGTAATGAGCTTATGGACGAAGTAGAACAAACAGTCTTGAGCTGACATCAAACTCTCCATTTTGCCTCAACACGTATCTCTAGATTCGTGTGTTTGTCGGGACATTACCACTAATGGTACGTTCCACCGTGTCGCCAAGTGTGACTTGGTTTACTTCCATTATTGCTTCGCGTGATATTATTGTGTGGCGCGCCAGTTAGCAAATGGACGCAATGGCCAACTAGAGTATTTTCTATTGGACGTCATCAACTGCGTGCAGCATTATGGGCTCCTCTCAGGCGTCTTGGACGTGTAGGTGTGTATGTGATGAAATAGAAACAAAAAAAAACAATATAGGTGACTGGCATACGGTGCATACCTGTTTCTGACAAAATTAGACGTAAGACTTTCTATAGAATGATAGTTTAGTGAAACGTAAATTGTCGCTTACATCGCAAATTTAATATTATCTGCCCTTTTCTAGTTGGACATCATTTTATATGCTTGATCATACTGGAAGGCAAAATAGGACACTTCTTTAACTCAATAATGAACTTAAATCTAATCTTTATGAGTATTTATCTAGATGATAAGCCGAGCTAAAAAGTAGTTCAGACAGTTTGCATAAATTGATGTTTTCGATGTACCTGGAGTGTCATTACCAGCACTGAGATACACTGGTGGTTAAAATTAGGGAAATACCCGGCGATCAGTCTGCTATATTGTCTTGCTTACCTTAGGATGATCGATCATCTATCTATGACGCTTAGATGTAGTCGGCGCTTTTTTGATGACCTGGTGTCAGACACGATAATGCGGCGCTGCCTATCATGTCGCATTGTCGAGAACTTTACTAGTAATTGGCAATCGGAGCCATTCGATTTTCCTGGTTTTAGCTAATATTCAAGTTGTCATTTCCCATTTATCCAGTACAGGATCCAACTGACAAAAAAAAATTATTAAATCTCGTCTGGCATGTTCTGCGCTTGAGAATAGAGGAATTTTTTCTTATGGTGGTCCACCTAAAACCATGTTTTAGGCGGGCCTCCATAAGCAGTTCTGCTTTGCACGATATACTGGAAGGCGCGAATATTTCAAGATCTGCCCTTGCTGTTGCTGATCGATATTGCTTCTATGTATTCGTACATGCATCGGCGAGGGCGGATCGACGAGCGTACGAATCGTTTGGTTGTTGACCGAAGACATTGAGGAGAGGCCGGCATGCCTAGATCGCTCGCACAGGTAAATGACAACCTGACACGATGATTTTGACCGTCATAAACATATTGGATGTGTGACTATGCATCGACTATTCAACGCATCCACCCCACCCGAGTTTCTCAATCAAACATATCCCAGGCAAAAACGATCAGATCTATCTCTCGTGCACGTACACACAACAAATTGCACAAGCAAAAGCGTGGGTGACTACGTAAACACATACTGTCGTGTACAGCTGTAGATAATAGCTACATAACACAGCCATAGAAGATGGACGATTTAAATGAATTCATAGTCCGGTTAACGCGTCAGGAAGTCTAGAACGTAATCGGTACTGCTAGCACTTATAATCATCACAACAAGACAATGCTGAAAAATCCTTGATAATTTAGCTGATATTATAATTATGAATCTAAATATCTCTAAGCACGGGAAAAACCGTTGAAGTGAATTTTTTACTGATAGCCACGGCAGTTGCTGAAATACGCAAAAAATTATTTTTGCGTATTTCAGCTATAGCAGATCGTTGAAACTGAATCATTTATCATCAATTTTCGCCTAATCCTAAATTATCCGATTGAGAAAATTATTTGACTAAAGTTTTTGCGTTAACAAACACGAATTTCGCTTTACCCTCCATTGACGCATGACACGTTGTAAGATATCCTGAACTTACCAATTTAATCAGAGTTCGAAGAAAAATTAGTTAACAAAAAAATTCTATGCGAAAGCTTTCCTCGTTTTTGGTGTCTTACGTCCTATAAAGCTTCTCTTCTAACCCATACATTTTAAATAATGTCAATAAAGTATTGTACACATTAACGTATGTTTTAGTTGAAGATCATGATCAATCGTCTTCGACGCCTCTGTTTACGACTGCTACAACTGAAAAAAGCTTTTGCTCATTGCAATCATTCCGGACAGTATAAACGCGATGCCAGAGGTAAAAGACGTCGCGAAGCATACGTCGGCCATCACGTTGCTGTCAGGCTTTCGAGATGCTTTGACCAATCAAGCAGTGTGAGAACAAAGATCCAGCTAACATCTATCGTATAAACGCGGGACAAGGGCTGCTACCGACGGCCGATAGCGAGCGACGAACTCGCAAGAGGGATCTCGCGTATCCTAGCATCGACCATACCTGCGAATGTATACACTTCGAGGGATCGTGAGGGAGGAATCGCGAGACAAAGCGGAGGAGACAAAACGGGATAGACAAGACACAACAACGGACACCAACAGGCTTTCCATGCCAGCGTCAACGTTGTACTCGCCGTGAAGAGCGCAAAGAGATAGGGCTCTCTGGAAATCACATTAGCAACAAGACGAACATCAACAGCATTACTACCATAAAGCGCAGGGGGAGCGAAAACATTCGAAGCAAGGTGGAGGTATCGGTCTAGTGGCCGTGGCTCGCGGCCCCTTCGTCTGCTACGCGATGCCCCCGGCCGAAGTAAAAGTTGACCTCAAAGATGTTGAGTACTCCAAACTACCCAATATCATAGTCGAACTATGGAATATCTTTATGACAGTGTTTCGGCAAAGCAAACTTTTTTGTTCATTTCTGCCGCTGCTGTGTATACTCGAAGGGATCGACCAGGCGCTCGATTATCAGCAAGGAATGATCATGGGCGATCTAATCGGATCCGTGTCCAGGAGGGACACCCCGGCGTTTTCTACTCTTATGGCGTGGATTGCTGGGATATCTTTATTGGATGCAGTTGTCAGCACGTTCAAAGGTTTTCTCACTGGTTACGCGACCGTGATGTTCCGGCAAATCCTCACACGCAAGCTTCATAAAAAGTACTTCCGTCAGCACAACTTCTACAAAGTAAACTGCCGTAAACCGATAAGCAATCCCGACCAGCGGATAGGTTCAGACGTAGAAGTGCTCGGTGACTATCTGTGTTGGATGATATCGACCATATTGACCACGCCTTTCACAATTACCTACTACGTATTTCAAGTGGGCCTTGGTCTCGGGTGGATATATCCGTTTATCATTGTCGGATACTTTTTTCTGGTTGTCTTGTTTAGTAAGATACTTCGAAAACCAATTGTGCCCCGGGTGTGTAAAGTAAAGAAAATGGAGGGCCGTTTTCGGCAGCAACACCTCGATGTGGTCGAAAACGCGGAACGGATCGCGTTTGTCCATGGCGGAGATGAGGCAGAATATGCTTACACCGAGATGACGTTCAAAAAGCTTCTACGAGCCTCAAAAATCGTTCAGTTCCTCTACATACCAGTCTATTTTGTAATGCGTTTAGATAATCGGATGGTTTATGTTGTGACGTACATTATTTGTGGAACACATATTTTTGCAATGAAGAACGACCTTTCAGAATCAGAAATTAGTAGTGAATGGACTAAAATCGTGTTCGTTGTATCAAATCTCGGTTGGATATGCCATAAGTACGTTTACATCATCAGCTTTCTCATCTACATCGAAGCTATGATCCGACGTGTGTCCGAGTTGATGGCCGGCATGGATGACACGTCCAGCATTATCAACGAACAGGGGACTCATGATGAAGAGCCACATTATTCTGTGAGAAACCTAACCATCGTAGGACCTAACGGCAGGACCCTGATCGATCGACTCAACCTCGAGATAGGCGTTCGCAAGAACATACTCGTAGCAGGGCCAAGCAATATCGGTAAGACTTCGCTGCTTCGAGTGCTCCGAAAGCTCTGGTCTCCAACTGAAGGCCAAGTGTGCTTTATAGGCCAGAGCAGCTCGGTGATGTACGTCGCTCAACAAGTGTTCTTTGGTGACGCATGTTCTACCCTGCGAAAAACCATCATTTACCCTCTGAGTCGACATTCAGCTGACGATGAACCAGTCATTAAACAGATCTTAAAGATATTAAGATTATGTCACGTCTTGAAGAGTGTAGATGGTGATCTCGACAAGGAATTGGAGGGGGCTTTAACGGTACTCTCGTCCGGAGAGCGGCAGCGACTCGCCTTAGCTCGCGTTCTATTTCACCGGCCACGAATCGTATTCCTTGATGAAGCAACCAATGCGCTGGATAAAGAGTTGGTGGAGATCTTTTTTGAGGAGTGTCGGATCAGTGGAGTTACAACGGTGACGGTCTCGCACAACCGCGAGAGCCTCTACCAGTTTCACAACCACGTCCTGGAAATTAGCAGAGACGGTACCTGGCGATTTGAGCCGACTGTAAATTATCTCAATAAGCGCTCCGTGTAAAATACTCTTGAAGAAAGTTTGATCGACTGGAACGGACGTCCAGCACGTCTTCGGATAGTTATTCTTGTATAGATGTTTCCTTTTATTGTCACGGTAATTCTAGAGGAGTAGTCACTGAAATTGAACAAATTAATAGATATTAGTTTATATCGGTTTTTCGAACATAGACGAACGTTTGCAGAGTGATACATTGAGAAGCGAAACAAATGCTAAATAGATGGCTGAATGTGTGATGTGTATACACACAGATATAAACACAGTATGGATATATATGTTTGTGGACGTTGCTTAGAATATGATCGAAAATGTGTTAGAGTACAGATAGACAAAAATAGTGTACGGTCAGAAGAATAGAAAAGAGGGATACGCATAAATCAAAAACCATTCATAAACGATTTGACGGGAAGATCACTTGTGATGGACTTTATCGACAAACGGCTCTGTACACTATGACTGCGCAGTGTAGATGGCTGATGCGAAACGTTAGCTAACGTGACCCATACGTCACGATTGTTGTAATCGCCTAGTATTCACTTCGAGCTAATCTTACCTGTTTGGGCTTTCCTAGCCTCACTCCTCAATCTACCTTTCTCTTATCTTGCAAACCGCAGGACACCGGTAACGATCAACTCGAGAAAAAAGCTCCGCAAATTATTATGATAGCCAAAGCTCGACCGCCATACCAGGGTGCGTCTAAAGGAACGACAGACAAAGCTAACAATCAACATTGGCCTGTGCAGGCGATTCTGTCGCAGTATAATAGGTATCAATGGTAAAGCGGAGCGTAACAGAATGTGTGCTATCGGAGTGTAACAATTCAACTGAGCGGGCAACGTCGACGATACGGAAACCCAAAGGATCCTACGGGCCTAACGGCCTGACAACCCGGAACATTCGCCGAGATCATCGACTTATTAATTCAGACAGCGTACGGAAGCTTCCATGTTACTAGGTGATGGAGCCCGTATGTTGAACGACCAGTCAAACACACCTTCACAGATTATTCCTATTTATCATACTGTTTCTATAGCGTTATAGAATGACGACGATGTAAGTACCGAATGACGACATCGCATGAGTTCTACATAATGAAACATTATTCTACATAAATGTAAATTGAACTGGTTTGAATGTGCAGGATGTGACCGGTGTTTTACGGAGCGGTCTTATATGAACATTGTGCTTAAAACGCTTTCGACCATTTCTATCATCGGATATCCATGTACCTTTTAAATATGTGCATACACGCGACGTCATTTGTAAGAATTGATAATGGACAAAACGCAAGGAAAACGCCATTTTTTTAATATATCGACCTGTTAATGGTTCACTAGTCCAGTTACTATTCATTTTGCTGTTTTGAATACGCATATTAAATATCGAATAAGTACACCTCAAAAAAACTTGTTGAGAGTTTTCTCTTTATTTTCGGACCTATTTCCATCCCGTTCAAATGTTGAACATAACGTAATTCTTGAGCTAGCGGATCAAGATTTGCGTTGAACCATGCATAGAAACCTATTGAAATTGGCAGTATATTGAACTATAGTGGAAAGTTATCAATAGCGAGACCTCTATGTCAATCCCTGCTGTTAAAAGTTTTCATATAACGACACTTGTTCCTGTTCAGAATTACAAAAGAAAAAAACAAGTACTAATTATATGCGGTAAAGCCTGTGGTGCGAGTGGCTCGGAAAAAAATTAATAAGTGCACAGAAGTTAACGTTACAAAACTCGTAATTCGAATTCTGCTTGGAAAATATTTTGTCCGATAGGAATTTTTTTTCCTGTTTTCGGCGTAAGTATTTGTTCTCTGGTGCATGTTCTAGGTAGCTCGGTCTTTTAAATCAGAAAATACATAATGAACTTGTATCGTTAGGCTGAATTTTTTTTGTTATTTCTCGATAAAAGTTACCTGTCGTTTCGGCTCTTCAAGCAAAGATTACTGTCGTGTGTCGGGTGTTTTTACCGTCGCTCTCCGTAATTCTGCTGTCTTCTTTCCAATCACGTAAAATTATCTGCTACATCACGCAGCTTTACATTCTTAGTCTTTCATTTGCAACATATTCAGGTGCAATAGTTTAGCTGAAGCCTATATTTTATAGGCAGCAGGACTCGGTCATAGGTTGCTAATTCCGCAAGAAGATATATTTGGCCAAACTACCACGTCGAAAAGATGCACTGTATGAATAGCAATGATACACGCAATAAAATTTATCCAATCAGAATTTTTTTTATTTACGAAGAACAGATGAGGCATACCGCGATCGTTCGATTGTTTACAGTTTGCCTTGCATCGCTTGAATACGGTTCCCTAATGATGCTTCGAAATCGTGGTTTCCCAGATAGCTTCAGCCGCCATGACAGACTTTGCATTCGTCATCGTACTCGATTCAGCCGGTCAAAGGCTCTTACTGCACTGTTTAACATGCACAAAAAGGAACTAATCTTACTGTCACGCTATTTATAACTAAACGATTACTAATGTTTCGTTACTCTTCAGTATATCATGCCAGACACTCACGAAAAACCGCAATTTAATGTTAGCTAAAAAAAAATACAGTATATAACCAAAAGAACCAGGAACGCGCTTTAATACTCGTGCTTTCATATTTTATAACTTATGTGATACCAAATCAATTTGGAACTCAATCTGAAGGTCTTCGAAAACGTAATTAAGTAAAAAGAAGAATGATTTTATGCTCGATAAATTAGGTCGGGCGAATAGAGCAAAAAGGAAAAATGAAAGAACGGCATTAGTACAGATTCTGTTTGTCCTGTAACCTTGTTTATCACCGCTTCATAGACTCGCTATTGCACCTCTGTTTAAAGCAAGATGACGAAACCTAAGCTGGGTCGTGATGCTACGTATATAAGTCCAGTGCATTTAGTGTACGCGTGCCGTGATTATTTATATGAAGATAGAGTTAGAACTGTTTTGTGAAGACTAAAGTATAACCGATGGCTAGTAAAAATTTGGACTATGTTTGCGCACTTTTCTCTGAGCCCTACTTAGAACCAGAAGAGACAACGATCTTCTCTCAATCTAGCATTACCGTTGAATTTGACCATGTGCAAGATTTCTCGATAATATCTACATGTCTAATATACATTGACTCTTGTTCTATATTCAAGATATATGCAAATAAATCTGTTTTGCCATTCTTTAGAAGCGCTTCGTCGTCTAATTCATTCGGCAGCAAATTATCTAAAATCGTGACTTAATTATGAAGACAAACATTTTTCGAAGGACTTGTCATTCTTATTCATTTATTTCATTGGGCACAGTAGGAAGAGATGTGCAAGAAAATTTCGCTTGAGAGCTTCAGTGTCGATTGTTGTTACCGTCACGACCATAATAACGGGTACAAGCTGTTCATTAAAAGAGTTTATGTAGTGTAAAACTATTTTTTGCACCTTGACGGACGCAAGCAAAGGGTTATGGTATTGCACTGAGTCAGATTAGAGTGACTGTGGTCGGGATCAGATCCCTGTGATGGCCCAATTACGAACGTATTTGCCTGCCAAACTCGGGAACCGACGTTAGTTTAGGTCTGACTGAATCCAGGCGTAGACACACTCAGTTTCATGCTAGGTGCTAGCGCTATAAAGTACGACCTAGCAGCTTAAGTAACGGGCGTGAAATCCAACAAAATATTTGTTCTATTTGGGGTCAAGATCCGGAAACCCACGTATGCAAAGAATTTAAGATGAAACTGAGTTTAGGATCCAGATCGAAGCAGTATTGCTTAGTTTTCATTTAAAAGAAGAATAACATTAATGATTATTCCCAAACGAAATTTAAGGTAAATCTAGTTATACCTTCTTGGCAAGAAAGCTATTCACAATTATTACTTGAAATAATAAACTTACTATTTTAACAGTAAAAACTGTAAGCGTAGACCTAAGCTAAAGTATTAACTAAGTTCTATTTTGAATAGTTATCTGTTTGAAGGGCTAAAGTAAAACATCGATAATCGCTGCGATAATTGAATGGTCTTAAAGCCGTCAGACTAAGAACATATTCTTACTTTATGAACAGCCTTGTCCCTCATATTGAAACTAGCTAATCCTCGTTTGTTCAAAGTTCCTGCTTATAGGACCAAGCTTTTCTATTGCATCCTGTACATGCAGATCTCATCGATAAGCTAACAAAAATATTAGAAGAAAAATTCGCCTGCAGACGCGCGCCACATCCTGGGTTCCCTTAATACTTCTCTTAGGGCCTAAGCCACTCAGTACAATGAGTCAATTAATTTTCTTCCAGGATAATCATAGCAGCAGGTTTGAACGCTTTACCTTGCCTGATGCCGGTTCATAACACGCCCATTCTAGTTGATACCATCAAAAGTGACTGAGCTATTTGAAAATAACATGCTTTTAAGTGATCATCTTAACGTACCGTACGTGACTCGATACCATGCTTCCGTCAAGTCTGAAAGCCGACTCCGAAGATATGGATTACCTAAAACCTATGTATGTGTTCATGGAACTGTGGAATATCACCACGAAGGTATTTGTATATTTCCAGTACTCTCGAAGACATCGATGTCAAGATGAATTATAAATGAGGTGCATCCTGATAACATTATAAGCTTGGACAGGACGTGTCATCCTTTCCTGCGCTTATGCCGTGGGTAAACGGCATTTCGTCGTTCACATCGTTCACAGACATAGTATTCAGTACACGCAATAGCTTACTCATACGATACTTAGTTGTCCTAATTCCAGGACTAATCACTACAAACTGCATAAAACGTATTTTCAAAAGCACAGTTTCTATAAGCTGAATTGCTCCGATTCGGTCAGCAAGCCGGACCCGCGCACTGAATTAGACGTCAATACGTTTTCGAGCTATATTTGCTAGACACTTGGCACCATACTAACAGCCCCGTTCACAGCTACCTATTATGCAGTTCTTGTCCGCCAAGCCCCGGTTGGATTTATCTGTCGATTCGACGCCGCGAGAAGCAGTTGTGTCGTAAGTGTGTAACGTATGGAGTCTGGAAAGCCGATTTCGATAGCAGTACCTCGACATGGCTCTAAATACTGAAAGATTTTTCACCTATAGGACCGACGAAGCCGAGTTTCCTCACGCGAGGGCAACTTTCACGCAACTTCTCCTAACAGCTAAAGTATGAATTATATCTCCATTGCCGTCTATTTTGTTATGTGATTCGATTACCGCGTGGTAGCATATCTGATTTGTAGCGCATGACGTATTACAGTGAAGATCGTTCTGTCGGAATGGAATATTAGCAGTGGGTGAACAAAGATCGTGTTCAATGTCTCGTGACTGAGGTCGATGTGTCACAAATACGTAGACATCCTCAGCGATGTTATCTATATTAAGGGTATGATTCGACGAGTGTTCGAACTAATATCGGGAATGAACGATCCTAATGGGGCCATCAACGAGCAAGAAACAGAAAAAAAAAAGAGCTTTGATGCCCTGTACAAGACCTCACCGTTACGGGGTCGACCGGTAAAATGCTAATTAACAAAATCAACTTTGAATTGAATACCCAAAGTAGAACATTCGTAGCTGGACCAAGTAAAATGGCATTCCGCTTTCGTGTGCTGTGTAAACTATGATTGTCCACGGAGTGCGAGGTTAACTCTACCGGCGCAAACAACTCGGTTCGATACGTTCGTCAACAAGCCTCTCATGGCGCCGCTCAGCAGTCGTTTACCCTCTGGCCCAGCGAGCGCCTGAGGATGTGTCAATAATCAGGACTACGTCCTTGAAGTTCGCAAGGACGCCACCTGGAAGGTCAACTGTGGCATGGGTGCGAAAGGCCATTAAGGGCTTGCTTTTAGGTGCTTAGTCAACTGCTTAGTAAAAGTCGTAGTGATATTTTAATGGTAGGAAACATGTAAACACACGCATGTATTCTGTCTTTGAATAGAAATGCAGCAGTAGGCTTAGTAGCTATTCTATTTATGTGCCTCAGTAATCCCGATATACTACTTTGGATGGACTGGGTACTTGTCAAGTCTCTGTCAGCGATGTAAAGGTTGTAATATTAATTTATATCAAACACTTCTTTTCTTATTTAGAAAAAGAAAAATAATTTCCCGCTAGAAAGTCTATAGTGAGTAGTTTTTTAAAACGCGCCTGAATAATAGCTCACACTGGATCAAGTCATGCAAAGTAATGTAATGGCCTTCTAATGGCCTAATAAAATTTCATTGCTGGATACGAATTCCTGTGCATAAACGTTCGCTTATCGGACTTTCCGTATTTGGACCAAATGTTCCTATAGAATCCAGGATTAAACATCTGTGTATATTATGCAAAACCAGCTCTCCTCTCTCGCATACTGTGTTTATTCTATAATTTGGTCAGTGGGGAGTAAGGAAGTAGAAAAG